ACAGCAAGGAGTAACCAGTGGACTTCTATAAGATCCACCGTCAAGGTAAATTGCATCCAACCATTAAAAATGCTGACCATCTTGTGCAATCAAGGATTGAGGACCTGGTGGCGCACGTCTGTGCCAAAAACTCTCGCTTGGATCAGAGAAAACATTTTCTGTACGAGATACGTTTCATCTGTTTCTTCCCATGATATGCCACGCCTATTTAGCCCCTATTACTGCGGGTCCCGTACTACAGTAGTGGACCCTAAATTTAACTTTCATTTCAGCATTGCTGTTCGAATTGAGGAAGTTGACTATGCTGTGGTAGAATCAATACAATTTTTTTTCAAAACTTGTCTGGCAATTTGCCGACCATTTTTTTTTGAAGTGCAATCAGGCATTCTTCATCGACACCGTTTTGAAGTCTACAGTCGATGGGTATAGTTAATTTTGAAAGTACCCGTTTTGAATATGACAAACCAATATTATAGGTTTCTTTCAAATACAGCATCCTCTCTTTGCACAGCTCAGATATTAGGAGTACAGTTGGCATCTTTGAAACGTAGGTGGAAGGTGAAAATAAGCAGATGTCTTAAGTGCTCCTTATTCTCTACTTTACAAGTCATGATTTAAGCCCACCAAGTAGGATATTACATGTTGTATGAAAAGATGGCAATGGCTATGCAGAATTTAATACTGCTAATTGGACAAACATAAACGAAAACGAAGTAAGTCATCCGTAATTCTTCATATAAAAAAGGTGTTAAAAGGCGTGTTTCTTATCACTTTAGCAGTTTTCTGTCCAAAAGAGTACACTATTATTAACGACCAAGAAACAAACGCTCGTGGTAATCGTGGTTGCGTCCATTAACCAGGCTATGTTTTTATAATAACTCTGAACCCCGGCTTTTTCTCACCTAATTTAAAGGGAAGAATTTGGGTTCCCATTTTTATCCCTCCTTCAGACCAAAGCTTAAACTAGGCGGGAAGGCCGCTTCCCCTCAAACATTTGTCATAATTTTTGTGTCGGGATTAAATGTTACATTGGACGGTAGGCCTTCGGCCGCAGCCCACTCTTTCTTATCATCCTCACACATCACGTGATGGGTACATGAGTACCGTTTCCCACTTAAATTTTCCTAACATTATGAATAGCACACCTTGTTTAATTTGGTTGGCGAACCATTACTAATGAATTAATAATAACGATAATTAATAATAACTGAAGAGGAATATGAGGAACATAAAACGTTTGAGGCACCCTTTCCCTGGTGTAATTTTGAAGATTGCATGAACAGCAGAATGTATTCAATGCATAAATTTCTAGAGTGGACATCAGCTACTTCCTCCCGTTGCATAACATGAGTAACGTTGAAGAAAATACAAATTGAATTCGTACAGAAAAATCGATGTAAACAGCAAGGTCATAGAAGCTGGTCACGAAGACTAATCAATAACGAAAGCACGAACAACTTGTACCTTACGCTACCTGGAGGCAGCCTGCACACGGTGGTTTAAACCCGATCTATGCAAACAGCTGGAGCACGTGGTGAAACTTAAATTGCCGGCTCCCTGATTTACATATTTTCCTGCCCAACTGTTTGCCTTGAACGTTTTTTCCCCACGTTTGCATTAGGCAGTATTTTAATTTGCTTACGGTATTGATTAGCCTTTCGTGACTATTTTCTATGACCTTGCTGTTTGCATCGATTTTTCTGAATGAATTCAATTTTTATCTACGTTTAACTTACTCATGGTATGCAACAAGAGGAAGCAGCTGATGAGCACTCCCGTTATTTATTGATCCAATAAGTTTTTTCTGTTTAGACAATCTTCAAAATAAAACGTTCGGTAAGAGCTGGCAATTCACCTGGAATATCATACTGTGACAGTTCTATAGAACTGAAACCGGGTTCTATAGAAACGACGCCTGACAAATAGCCCTCTTCCAGACGATTCTGGGTGAGTTCCTTCGTATCCTGTAGTCTGCTTCCGTGGCCTGGGGAGAAAACTTTCACTTTAAATTTCAACAGTCGACTCACATCCTCGGTAACCACAAACCCTCACGGCCGGGTAACCAGCCGTCACTTATCTACTCTCACCCCTTAGCCCTACCCTATTCATATGGCTAATTTGCCTGTTATTATGAAAATAATTGCCCGAATGTTGCCTTTTACCCCATTCCCATATAAATGTAATTGCCCGAGGAGAATTTATTGAAAGTTACAGACGCTCGCCAACGAAGCCATCCGGGTGATTTATAAGGTCCCAGCGAACTATCCCAAGTTCCTGGATCATTGCCTGCTAGCAACAGCAGAAGCAACCGCTGTTTGGTTGGGGACGTCATTCTTGTGCCTACGAAAGAACCTCATTCAAGCTCTGTGCTTGGCATGGTTTTAGTGCGTGCCCACTTTCGAGCATTATCCCTCTCATCCCCCTACCCCTGGACCAGAAATACGAACACAACTGACCGCTTGTTTACCTTTAATCGCGTTCCCATATAAACGTAATGGCCCGATAAGACTTCATTAGAAACTACGGACGTTCGCCAATAGGATAGAATGTCAACAGCAGTCACTTTGGTTCATTTATTCACGCATTTGAGTGTACAGGGCTGTTTTTAAAACGGAAGTTACTCTTCGACCGAAATTGCTTTGAAAACAAATTTTTCTGATTTTCGATTTTCAAAACAACATATGTTAAGGTGATAATTTATCTCCAGCTGCCGTTTTTAGTAGATCAAAATTAATAGGAAGTGCGTTGGGCATGCTTTTAGTTAGCAACTGTCTAATAACTTACCTGGCATATGGTACTGCGACAGTTCTATAGAACTGAAACTGGGTTCTATAGAGCCAACGCCTGATAGATAGCCCTCCTCCAGACGGTTCTGAATGAGTTCCTTCGTATCCTGCAGGCTGTTTCCGTGGCCTGTGGAGAGTAGTTTCACTTTAAACTTCACCAGTCGACTCAAATCCTCGGGAAATTTGGGCCGCCGCCCGAGTTGTGGTTGACTCAGCTGGGCAGCTTCGAAAGACTCCTGTCGAATGGAAGTGACCCTCTGGTAGCCAGGCGCGGACCGACACAATTCTTCCAGGCTGCGAGCGATGCGCGGTTCCCAGTACGAGGTGTCGCTGTTTCCTCGTGCACCCTGATGAACTGCCTTGTCAGAAAAGGGCTCGTTCTGGTAAACAGCCAGGTCGATGGTGAAGACGACTACAGTGGAAGAAATATTATCGATATAGGCGCCTCTTTTATGATCCAAAGTCAATAGTGTTTGCCGGCAGCAAAGTTATTCGACATGAAATTCACAAGGTGCAAAGTAGGAACGCTGGAGAAAGGAAGTGTTGGTTGTCTTGATATGTGGGAAATCACGATGTAAGTAGGTCATAAACGAAACTGTCGGTTACCACAACACAGATACCTGGGAAGCAAGCGTGTGTTTTAAACAGAAAACCTCGATCGAAACTGCCATTAAGACAGATGGAAGTTATTACACAGAAGAAGGGTATTTGTAACTCAAAATATTGTGATGTGCAAAAACGGAGTTCGTACTTCTAGATGCTAAGGATAATACCATCAGAAAAAGAGCATTCCTAATTTTAGTATAACTCGTTACAATATCCGCATTGGGACCAATTAGACCTGTAACAAGATGCACTAGGCATCCATAAAATTTGGTCACAAATCGTCAGAGCGATCGAGGAGTACGTGGGCGGAGGTTGGGGGGAAGGGGGCGTGAGTACATTTTACTTTCCTTTTTTACTATCTAGGTACATCGACCATAAAATATACAATCCTTACTCATTCATGCCTCACTGCATAAAAACAAAGAAGTATCGACCATCCCTCCAACGTCTTTGGTTGCTATGCCACGACTTCCACCCACCAAGTGTACAACCTTGCAACATACAGTATGGCTCAAAAATCATGAAACTTCCATGACGAAATTTGACTGGGTAGTTGAGCATATACTTGGTTACGTTATTTCGATTCACTAAGAGGATTTAATCCTGGGAAAGCCTTTTATTTAGGATAACCGCCCTTTTAGTTAAGTTTATTCAGGGTAATGTGCATTAATGTTGGCGAAATTGGAAGTCGTCTCATATCGAAGGAATTTCCTATACGACAGAACCTAACTTTTGATGAGCAAGCATTGTGTTATGGAAGAACTCCAAAATAAGAAATAAAAAGCAGTGTAAAACATATTCCTTCCAGAACCGGAAAATGTGTCCGAAATTCTTCAGATGCAAGTGAGGCCAAATTTAAGGAATCGCATGGATTCTCAGAAAGAAAAATCATGGTTAGCTTACCTGTGAAGCTTTTTTGCACAAAGTGCAGTAACAAAAACGTTTCGGTTGCATTTTATTTTAACGCATCGTCTACATGGCGGATAAGCAAAGTGTCTATATATGTTACCGTGAAGGCAATGTAAAAGTCAGGTAGAAATGTACTTTTTTGCAAACTATAGGTCACACTTATACAATATTTAGAAACGGAACATACAGAGGAATAGTAATCTCAAAAATGGTCATATATATAGTCACTCTTTTTTGCATTCGCAAGCTGATAACAGATCCTGGAATTAATTCACTATGGCGGAAAATAACCCATTATAAAGAGAAAAGTAAGTTATTTTTTCATTTCAAAAAACCCATTTTCGGTAAAGTCTGTTGACGTACATCCTACTTTAAAGGTTGTCATGTAAACGTCGAACGGAATCTCGATTGGTGAACGAACACGCGCAGACACTGAAAACGCTGGAGATGATGTCAGAATGTAAAGGACAATAGTAAATTATTAGGTATCTATTAATATTAATTTATATAAAAATTTGACTTAAGATAAGTTCTTTTTATATAAAGAAAGTGGTTACCTTAAGTTTTCAACTTCAGACAATATTAAATTAACTGTTCCAATTTATAGCTGTTTTGACGCCTCCGGAACGTGGGAATTATCGGGAAAATATTATTTTTCTTAACAAACATTTAGCACTTTTTATGTCTTTTAAATTTGCCTAATCTTGTTCTTTACTATTTCTAAGTTTTCGTAAATGCGTTCAAGCCAATATGCGAATACTTATCAAACTTTTACAAAGTTGACAATGTTGCACGATTTTGGGCCATGCTGTAGTCATATAATCGGCCTGGAGCTGTTGAGACTAAAATTAACTTTGGCTAACTATTTACTTTTTTATTTGAATGCGAATTTTCATTGTTGAAGGGAGTTAAACATGTTAACTTATCCTTTAAGTCGGTGGAAAAAATGAACAAGTAACGTGAATCATTTGGCCATTTTATAAGTTTTATAACTTTTCTCTATAAACATCTTCGAAGATGAGAGTAAGAAAAACAGGGTATAGGGAAACGCATCATTGGCCAGACTTCGCATTAACGTCCTTCCCTCGTTGTGATGGTTTTTATTTGCAATATTTAAATTTTGGGAAAACGCCAAGGGCTATTTGCATTTTTAGGCATGCTAACCTAGCGCAATGCGGTTTAAAGCAATACAATACTCAAACGGTAATGGTAAGCGCGGCGCTTTTGCGAAGTTTTTTTGGGCGCCCAAAGCCGGTTTGCATAGCTTGATTGCAGCCGCTTATGCCCTAACCAGCAGATACTGTCCACGTGATTTTGAGCAGCTTGGGGGCACCGTGTTAATCATTCGGAAAGCCAATCTGGTATCTACGCGATGCGTTAATTCTA